GGCCTGCAGCCGCAGGTGGGGAACGTTGGTTTCCTCCGTCACTGAGGCAAGCAAGCCTCATGTTAGTTTCAAGCTGCCTGGCTGCCGGCCGCCATCTTGGCTGACAGTTAATTTGCATATCTTGCTGATTAGCCAATGAAAAGGGTAGCGGTCGTACGCCAATTACCATGTTTCTCTTTTATTAGTGTAGATAATGAACTATCAGAAATGGAAACTACAAGAACAATTGTATTACAATTGTGTAAAAAAAAAAAATACCTAGGAACAAATTTAACCCAAGGAGATAAAAGACTTGTATTTGGAAAATTACAAGACACCGAAGAAAGAAATGCAGAAAATACAGTTAAATGGAAGCACATACCATGCTCATGGGTAAGAAGAATTAACATTATTAAAATGTCCTAGAGAAATCTAAAGATTCAATGCAATTCTTATCAAAATACCAATGGATTATTTCACAGAACAAATAATGGGGCTGGACTGGGTGAGACAGGATGGACATGCCCTGGAGTCAACCACCCATGGTCCCTCCCTGGCCGGCCACACCTGGGACAATGCCAGGGCTTGAAGGGCATCTGTGGAGTGAGCAGGGCCCCTCCGGCAGGTGGGGTCCCTTGGCCTGGCCTGTGGGGATCAGGCCGAAACTGGCAGTCCGACATCCCCTGAGTGCAAGAATTAACATTATTAAAATGTCCTAGAGAAATCTAAAGATTCAATGCAATTCTTATCAAAATACCAATGGATTATTTCACAGAACAAGAATAAATAGTCCAAAAATATATATGGAACCACAAAGACCCTGAGTAGCCACAGCAATGTTGAGAATGAAGAAGAAAGTTGGAGGTATCACACTACCTGATTTCACAGTATAGTATTGGCATAAAAACAGACATATAGACCAATGCAGCAGTATTGAGAGCCCATAAATAAACTCACACTTTTATAAACTAGAGGCCTGGTGCACAGATTTGTGCACAGTTCCCTCTTTGGTTCTGGGTGCATCACCCAAGAACCACAGCTGCCAAGTCACTGCAGCTCGGCAGCTCCTGCATTGAGCATCTGCCCTTTTGTGGTCAGTGCGCATCATGGCTACTGGTCTGAGGGTTGAACGGTTGAAGAGTTGGATGGTCACTTAGGTTTTTATATATATAGATTAGTATTTGACAAAGGAGGCAAGAGCATATAATGGAGCAAAGAGAGTCTGTTTAATAAATGGTGCTGGGAAAATTTGCCATGCAAAAATGAAACTAGAACACCTTCCTCATCATATACAAAAATAAACTCAAACTGCATTAAAGATTTAAATGTAAGACTCAAAACCATAAAATTCCTAGAAAAAAAACAAAGGCAGTAAAATATCTGATATTTCTCTTAGCAATCTTTTTTTCTGATATATTTTCACAGGGAAGGGAAACAAAAGAAAAATAAACAAATGAGACTACATCAAACTAAAAAGTTTTGGTACAGCAAAGGAAACAAAATGAAAAGACAACCCACTGAATGCGAGAACACATTCGCCAATGAGACCTCTGATAAAGGGTTAATATCCAAAATTTATAAGAAACTCATACAACACAACACCAAAAACACAAACAACCCAATTATTCAACGAGCAGAGCTCTTGAATAGACACTTCTCCAAAGAGGACATACAGCTGGCTAACAGACATATGAAAAGATGCTCAATGTCACCAATTGTTAGAGAAATGCAAGTTACCTGTCAGAATGGCTATTATCAATAAATGCACAAATGATAAGTGTTGGTGAAGATGTGGAGGGAAGGGAACCCTTGTGTACTGTTGGTGGAAATGCAGATTGGTGCTGCCACTGTGGAAAACAGTATAGAATTTCTTTTAAAATTCAAAAATTGAATTTCCTATGACCCAGAAATTTTACTTCTATGGATTTATACAAAGAAACCTAAAATATTAATTGGAAAGAATATATGCAACTCTATGTTCATTGCAGCATTATTTATAAGTGCCAGGATATGGAAGCAATCCAAGTGCTCATTAATAGACGAGTGGATAAAGAATGGAGGTACATATATATACAATGGAATATCATTTGGCCATAAAAAAGAATGTAATCTTACCATTTGTGACAGCATGGATGGACCTAGAGGATGAAATGCTCAGTGAAATAAGTCATTCAGAGAAAGAAAAATACATTATGATTTCACTTATTTTTGGAATCTAAAGAATAAAATAAATGAACAAACAAAACATAAACAGACTCACACGGAGAGAATGAAGAGCAGACTGAGGGTTACCAGATGGGAGAGGTGTTGGGAGATTGGGTGAAAAATGTGAAGGGATTGAGACATACACATTGGTAGATTAAGAATAGTCATAGAGATGTAAAGTTCAACATAGAGAATATAGTCAACAATATCGTAATAACTATGTATGGTGCCACGTGGGTCCTGGAAATATAGGGAGAACACTTTGTAACATATATAATTGCCTAACTACTGTGCTGTACACCTGAAGCTAATATAAAATAATATTGAATGTAAAAAAATAAAAATATTACCACACAAATAAATGTGAAATTGTGGTGAAAAATAGAGATATGGAAGATAGGCTTGAGAGAAATGAGCAAAATGAAATGGAAAATAATAGTTAAAATTTATTAGGGAAAACAGAAAATAACACTTAAAAGTTATTAGGGAAAATGGTAGATATGAAAGACAAATTTCAATTATATATATAATTTGTGCTTCTAGGAAGAGAACAGAACAAAGATATGTATTAGGAAAGCTTTCCTGTAACAAAGATAACTGTAAATCTATTGGCTTAAAGGTTAATATGCTGTCCTGGGAAAACTTCATACAGATGGATCAATATATATCATTGTCAAATAACTAGAATTTGTAAATAAAAGAAACATGCATATTGGCTAGGCCATAAAATCAAGTCCTCTATTATGTACAATATTCTCAGGTTGATTTTAAATTTCTTCATAACAACATTCAATATCTACATGGACATCAGAGAAAGAAAATGTCACTTATGAATTGTAAAACAGCCTAACTATAATTCAAGTATGCATATAATTGACAGTTTTACACATGGAAGATAGTAGGAAATATGGTTCCCATGAGCCTTCTTAAAGAAACTTCTGAGGATAGCCTGTTAACTAAGCAATGAATGAAAAAATGAATAAAAGGACTATTTTGAGAAGATAATTCATTTAAATGTATTAAACTATGACTAATCAACTATAAGAATTATGTCTGCATAATAGCATATAAGTTATATAAAATCGTCAATTCAGAAATGGTAGTAAAATAAATCAAATTTGGTAGATGTTGGGGACTGGTAGAGAGACGAGGTAAAAGCTAGGATAAGTACTGGTATGCTAATTTTTATATCATATAGTGAGTGAGGGGTCAATAGACCCTGTCCATAGCTGATAAATCAAGTATTACATAGATAAATATTTTAAGGATACAAAGGTAACAACTAGACTAAGTATGATAATAAAATTAACCAAAAAATCCCTATGTTATAATAGATGGAAGAAATAGAAACATGCTTATTTCTCATAATTTATAGTAAGGAGTTCATAAATTCTATCTAAATAGTTAAAATCTATTTTAAAATTTGGTCAACTCACCAATCTGTATCCTATGGAATATATATATTTTCTTCCAGTTTGAAAAAAATACACTTCATTATCTTTTCTCTGCTCCATGATTCTTCAAAGAGTACTGGAATGGTTCTGTGACCACATCTACCAGGTTATTTTAGTGTCTTTGGATAGTCTTCATTTAGATCTAGAGATCTGACTCTTAAATTAGCCAAGGACAAAAATCTTGATTTCACTGTACTATTGTTTTATTCCTACCAAATTCCAGTGGTTTATTTTTTCTCTCCTTTTTTTCTTTCTTCTTATCTGTCCACTGATCCAATTAACATTTGTTTAGTTTTTATTGAGTCAGATGCTGTAAAAGAATGCTGGCTAGTTATAAAGATGGTGCAGACAAGCCTCTGCCCTCAAGAAGATTAGTCTAGGGCAGAGGCCAATAACACTAACACAAATATGCTTTTAATATCAAGAGCAATCTCCCTACGCCACCCAACCCCAAGAAAAGCTAAAGTTATCTTGCTGTTCTGAAAAGGCTCTGTGAAGAAAATCGAATTTCCTCTGGGTCATGAAGAATGAATAGGTCTTCACCAGGCAGGAAAAAAAAAAAGAATGCTCCAGATAGAATAAAAAATTAAGCAAAGACACAGAAGGAATGATGATCACTTTGGTTTGATTGTAATGGGAACATACTGGAAAGTGAGGGGCTGGGTTGAAAGTAAAGTCCACTCTTCTGGTTGACTTTGTAAATACAAAGGGTTCCCTTTGAGTCTAGCAGTATCACATTTAGGTTTGGTCCCTCACCACCAGGTATCAGTCCTCTATGATACATACCCTCTTTTCTTTGCCCCCAGAAAACACCCCACATTGCCAAGAAGCACTCCAGTTGAGAAATGGATTGATGACCCCAGTGAATAGCACACAGCCTTGGTCAGTTCCCACAGGCTGCAGGCTGCCCACTCCTGGTTACAATACAGTTCTCTCAGGAGTGTTTCCCAGCCCCAACCCATGCTGTATCTCACCTTCATCTCCAGGGCCTCTGGCACCTTCTTGCCTTCCCAAGCCCAACTCCTCTTGGTGAAGTAGTTGACAGTAGCAAATTCAATCAGCGCAGAAAATACAAAGGCATAACAGACGGCTATGAACCAGTCCATGGCCGTCGCATATGCCACTTTAGGTAAGGAGTTTCTGGCACTGATACTCAGGGTGGTCATGGTAAGAACAGTGGTGACACCTGGGGAGAGAGAAGATAAGAACCCAGTTGCCAATCAAAGACACTTAGAGCATATTCAATTAGATCACCAACTTTCTACTTAAAAGGAGGAGCTATACCCACCCTCCACTCAAACATTCCCTTTAAAATAAAAACAGAGAATGTAAAAGTGGGATGGTTCTACCTAGTAACCACCCCATCCCAATTCTCACAGCAATAGGGATCTCCAGTATAACGATTCTAAAAGTTATCTTCTAGCCTCTGCTTAAACATTTCCATTGAAGAGTAGGTAACATATTTTATTGTAAGGAATAATTTTAATTAGAGAAAATTTCTCTCATGAGCTGAAATTGCCTTCTTCTAATTCCTGGTCCATTGACTGATCTCAGAGTTCTTTCTCTAGCAAGACAGGAAAGAAAAGTTTGTTCCCTCCTTTGCAGGACAAGCCTTAAAAATTTGAACAGGGTCACTATGGTTCCTCATGAATCTGTTTATCTCCAGAATGAACATAGTTCCTTCTCTTGTTTCTCCTCCCTCATTCTGGTAATTCTCTTCCAAACAGCCCAGAGCTGAGCCCAAGACTAAGGACATGGTCTGAGGTCAGTAGGCTATTCACTTCCATTATCATGGACACTATTATCCTAATAATGCAACAAACTATTGTGGAAATGATTCTTTAGTTGCATCACAGTCTAGGTCTTACTGACTGAGCTTCATGGACAACCAAAGCTATTCCAATAGTTATTCTTGTGAGTTTTTGCCAAACCAGAGCTCACTTTTAGGTCAATTGATTCTTTTTCTTGGTATTAATAACCTGAATTAAATACTTTTCTTTATTCTCTTTAAAATTATATTTATTTATTAAATTTATTGGGTTTACGTTGGCCAACATGAACATATTGGTTTCAAGTGTGTGTTTCTGGTTACAAGATCTGTATATTGTGCCATGTGCTTATCACCCAAGGTCAAATCTTCTCCTGTCACCATATATTAGGACCCCCTAATCCCCCAACCCCCTTCCATATGGCAACCACCACACCACTGTTTGTGTTCATGAGTTTCCATTTTCTATCCCACATAGGCCTGGTGTACAAAATACATTCAAAGGGGGGTCCCCTCAGCCCGGCCTGCACCCTCTCCAATCGGGACCCCTTGAGGGATGACTGACTGCCGGTTTAGGCCCGATCCCCGCCTAAACCAGCAGTCAGACATCCCTCTCACAATCCTGGACCACTAGCTCCTAATTGCTCACTTGCCTGCCTGCCTGGTTGCCCCTAACTGCCCCCCTCTGCTGGCGATTGCCCCTAACCACTCTGCCTGCCTATCTCATTGCTCCTAACCCCTCTGCCTGCCTGCCTCATCACCCCTAACCACCCCCATCCCTGCCAGCCCAGTCACCCCTAACTGCCCTCTCCTGTCAGCCTAGTTCCTCCCAACCCCCCCTCCCCAAATGCCCTCCCTTGCTGGCCTGATCACCCATAACTGCCTTCCCCTGCTGGCCATCTTGTGGCAGTCATCTTGTGCAAGGGTGTGATGGTCAATTTGCATTTGCATATTACCTCTTTTTTATATAGAATATGAGTGAAATCATATAACTCAGCTTTTTCTGACTGACTTATTTCACTTAGCACAATATTCTCAAGGTTTATCCATGTTGTTGCAAATGGCAGTATCTCACCCTTTATTAGTACATATTCTTTATCCAGTCCTCTATCACATGACACTTTGGTTGTTTTCATGTCTTGGCCACCATGAGTAATGCTACAATAAACATAGGGTTGCATATATCTTTGCGAATACATGATTTCTAGTTTTTCAGTTATATACCCAAGAGAAGTATTGCTGAGTCATATGGTAGCTCTATTTTTAATTTTTTGAGGAATCACCAGACTGCTTTTCATAGTGGTTGTACCAATCTACATTCCCACTAGCAGTGAATGAAGGTTCCCTTATATGGGTCTGTAGTTTTCATTTTTTGTGTTATCTTTGCCAGATTTTGGTATCAGGGTTACATTGGCCTCATAGAATGTGTTAAGAAGTACTGCCTCTTCTTCAATTTTTTGGAAGAGTTTGAATGTTTGGTAGAATTCACTGGTGAAGCCATCTGGTCCTGGACTTTTACTTTTTGGGAGACTTTTTATGGTTGCTTCAATTTAATCACTGCTGATTGGTCTATTTATATTTTCTAATTCTTAATGTTTTAGTCTAGGAAGGTTACTAGTATATATTTCTAGGAACTTTTTCCAGGTTATTGAATTTTGTGGCATATATTCTTTCATAATGTTCTAGTATGATCCTTTGTTTATCTGTGATGTCTGTGGTGACTTCTCTACCATTTCTGAATTTTATATGGGTCTTTTCCCTTTTTTCCTTAGTGAGTTTAGCCAGGGGTTTGTCAATTTTATAAATTTCTCAAAGAACCAGCTCTTTGTTTTATTAATTTTTTGTATAATCTTTTTGTTCTCTATTTCATTCAATTCTTCTCTAATTTTATTATTTCCTTTATTCTGCTGATTTTGAGTTGCTTTTATTCTTCTTTTTCTAGCTCTTTAAGATTTGATATTAGGTTGTTTACTTGGGATTTCTCTTGTTTCTTGAGATAGGCCTGTAATGATATAAATTTCCCTCTCATTACTGCTTTCGTCACATCACAGAAGTTTTGATATGTTGTATTGTCATTCTCACTTGTCTACATATCTTTTGATCTCATCTTTTATTTCTTCTTTGACCCAGTCATTTTTCAGTAGTATGTTGTTTAATCTCCACATACTTTTGGGCTTCTTTGCTTCGTTTTTGTAGTTGATTTCTAATTTCAAGTCATTGTGGTCAAAGAATATGTTTTGTATAACTTCAATCTTCTTTAATTTGTTGATGCTTGTTATGTGACCCAACCTATGGTCTATCCTTGAGAATGTTCCATGTGCAGTGGAGAAGAATCTAATCTAATGTTCTGTGATGAAAGGTTGTATAAATGTCTATTGTGTTCATTTGGTATAGTGATTCATTTAAGGGTGATATTTCTTTATGATTTTCTGTTTGCTTGATTTCTCTAGAGCTGTCAATAGAGTATTAAAGTCCCCAACTATGATTGTGTTTTGATCTGTTTCTCCCTTTAGTTCTGTGAGTAGTTGTTTTGTATATTTCAGTGCTCTCTGTTTGGGTGCATATATATTAAGAAGTGTTATGTTTTCATGATGTAATGCCCCTTTATCATTATAAAATGTCCATCTTTGTCTCTCCTTATCTTTGTTTTCTTTAAATCTATTTTGTCAGATGTAAGTATGGCTTTACTTGTTTTTATGTGGATGTTATTTGCTTGGTGAATCATTTTCCACCCTTTTACTTTGACTCTACCTTCGTCTTTGCAGCTTAGATGTGTCTCTTTGTAGGCAGAATATGGCTGTGTTTTGATTTTTGTTCCACTCTACTATGTGCCTCTTTATTGGTGAATTCAGACCACTTACCTTCAGGGTAATTATTGATATGAGGATTTCCTATAGCTATTTTATATTTTATTTTTTGGTAGTGTTGTGGCTCCATTGGTTCTTTTCCTTTCTGTTTCTGTCTGTTGTTTTTGTTTGATGGTATTCCATACCCTTTCCTCTGTTTCCTCTTTTTTGTAAGCTATGTGACCTGGTTTGGGGATTTTTGTGTGTGACTACCATTAGGTTTATAAAAAATAAAGTTGCATATACACCAAAGTTTTTTTTTTCTTTTGAATACATCTGATCTTCATCCTCCTTTGCCAGTTCAGACCTTTATTCCCTCCCCTTTTAAGTTTTTGTCATCACTAATTATCCCTGTTTTTGCTATAAGATTTTTGTTGATCTTACTCATAGTGTTATAACCTTATGTTCTTTGTTTCAGATAGAATAACTTCCTTGAATATTTCCTGCAATGAAGGTTTTCTGGTGATAAAATCCTTCAGATTCTGTATGTCTGGGAATGTCTTTATTCCTCCTTCGTATTTACAGGATAATTTGCTGGATATATTATTCATGGCTGGTAATTTCTCTCTTTCAGAACTTGAGTATTTTGTTCCATTGTCTTTTGGCTTGTAGAGTTTTTGCTGAGAAATCAGATGAAATTCTGATGGGTTTTCCTTTGTAGGTCACTTCCTTCTTTTCCCTGGATGCTTTGAGAATTTTTTCTTTCTCACTAATTTTTTACAGTTTTAATACCAACTGCCTTGGAGAGGATCTCTTTGGATTAAGGTAACTAGATGCTGTTTGCTTCTTGGATTCGAGGATCTAGTTCTTTCCATAGATTTGGGAAGTTCTCATCCACTATTTGTTTGAATAGACTCTGTCCCCTGCTCCATTTCTTCTTCCTCTGCAATGCATATAATTATAATATTGCTTTTTCTGATGGATTCAGATAGTTCTCATAGAAGTCTTTCATTTTTCTTTATGCTCAGGTCTCTCTTCTCCTCCCTCTGCATCATTTCTGGATTCTTACCTTCAATATCATAATTCTTTCCACTATGTGGTAAGCTCTGTTTTCTATGCTCAGTAGTTTACTCTTAATCTCCTTAATTGAATGCTTCATTTCCAGGATTTCTGTTTGGTTCTTTATAAAGTTTCAATCTCTTTGATAAAATACTCATTTTGTTCATTGATTTGTTTTCTGAGTGCACTAAATCATCTGTCTGTATTTTATCACATCTTATTGAGTATTTTCAGAACTGAATCTTGAAATCTCTGACATTTTTATTACATATTTCCATGTGTTCCAGCATGCTTTCTGGAAATTTTTCATATTCTTTCTCATCATCCTCATTACTATGGTTACTCATAGTATTTGCCGTTCTTCTTTGCCTATGCATTTATCTCTGTCTATATATTATTTTTCCAGTAGATGGCACTGAATCACAAGATTTTTTTTTACCCCTCTGATCTCCCAGTCTTGACCTCCATGGCTTTGGTAAGAGTACATCCCCACTGCTTGGGGGTGGGGTTTTGTTTTGCCCTCACTGTAATGACCTCCACAGGGTCTTCCCAAAGCCCCCCTCCTGGGGGTCA